ACAAAGAGCTTCTTCACCCTTCTCTTTAGACAGAACTGCAGAAAAATAAATTGATACGAAAGATCTTATTTAAGGCTGATGCACCCAACCCACGGCCCAGAGTCCACTGGACAGCTTGGGATTTGGCCCAGGATATTATAAACTTTTCATATTATCGTATCGCTTTTACTTAATTTGATTTTCATTAGTACACATTTACAGTCCATAGCAATTACATGGCTCATTGGGAGTTGGTGTGTATACATAATACATCTTCATTTTTGTATGTCCCCTTTACTCTTCATCTCTTAGTCTCCTTCCATTTGAAAAAAATCCATCTCCCTGCTTTCTATTATCTGTCTTTCATTTCTCTCTGTAATTTATTTATGCGTTGGGTTTCTCATTTAAACAAGGTTTAACATCATGTGTCTGAGTTACAGTTCACTTAACATGATGGTTCCGGGTACATCTGTTTTTCTACAGATGACTCAGATTTATCTGTTTTATCAGAGTATGCTCTATTGCATATACATACTACATTTTCTTTGTCCATTCATCTGTTCTTGAGCATACTGACTGCTTCTGAGAGATAAAGCTATTATGAATTGAGCTGCTCTAATTATGAATGTATCAGTGCAATGTGATGTTTTTAGTTTTGAGGGGGTAGATATCTAGAAGGGGACTAGCTGGAAAGAGTGATACTTAGCAATATTTTTCCTGAGTTGATTGCCTGGTGCTCCAGCCTGTGCTATGTAGGCAATAAAAGAATGTCTAATGCCATTCTCTGCCCGATACATGGAGCACACGGTCAGTCTCATAACCCTTGTATACCAGACATTGCACATGGTTATGTGACTTGGTGAGCAACAATTACTGATGACAGTGTTTCAGTCTACCTAGCTGTTTGTACCTTCCTGTGTGTGCCTAGAAGACAGGCATTTTGTTATTAAGGAGACACGTAAGTGTTCTTATTTAATAATTAAACTTGGCTCGTTGAATCATTTTGTAAAATAATTTAGTAAGATATAAAGCATATAGGAGCTCTTGTTACTTATATGTATTAACTATGTGATAGATTTGCTATGCAGCTCAAGACAATTCTTCACTACCTGAGCCTCAGACAAGCTGAAAGGTTGGACACCTGTGGATTAAGGATTTCTAAGCTACATATTTTCCATAGACATCTTTGCAATGATTTTCTTTTTACTTTAAAGAGAATTTCCAAAAAACAATAAAAACAGTACAGAATTTCAAAACAAGATGATAGGAAATTAACAATGGTTATTATATTGCATATTGTTGTCTTCGAAATAGTGGTCAGATTACCAGATATGGGCATTCTCCAGTGATTTTTGATTTCTTCTTAAAATTATTATAAGTATTTCAGGGTTCTGGGTGTGATTAAATGGAGCCTTTCCGTCGAAACCACTGAGGATACTTAAGATGCAGATTCTTTGGCATCCACCGTGTCCAAAGATTCTACTTCATTTGACAGTAAGTTCCATGTATCGTGGTTTAGCAGGAGAGGAGTTACTTCTCTAACAGGAAGTTAGGATTCAGCAGTCTAAAACAGGTAAGCAGCTCAATAAAGGCTTAGTGGATAAAGCCTGGCTTTTTCACCCCTCAACTATGCTAAGCCATGATCCAGTCAGCTGGACACAGACATGGCGTACGGCAGCAAGGAAACCTCAGGCTTTTGTTAACCACCGTGTGCGTGGCCACCCAAATCAAATTCTGTGCAAGCACTATGGCACAGGCAACTGGCAACCCTTAATATTTACAAAATCCATTCCCAGGCTTTGGAAAGTTGTAATCTGTCAAGCACTGTGAATGATTATTTATATTAACATCGAGAAGCATTGTTCTGTCTTTAACTTTGTTACACCATAGCACACTTACCTTCTTAAGAAGCCACTCACCTGCTCATTCTCCCTCACCTTCCACAGCCTCTCTCAGTATCTTTTTTCAGTGGGTCCCAGAAGTGGCATCACCTCCTCAATTTCCGAGAGCAATCTCAGGGGTCTCTCTCGGAGGCCACTGGATGGTACCAGAGAAATTGGCAGGACAGAGTCAGGACATTCTTGTTCCTGCTGGTACTTTTATTTCAAAAGGAAGATGCTCAGTATCCTAAAACTTTAAAACCATTATGAGTTTGTACATAAATCAGGAAGCTATTTGATTTGGATAATTATCCTCCTGCAACTTCTGATTAGAGATAGCTTCTTGTACATACTTCATCTCTGAAATGAATGATGTAATATGAGGATTTTTCTTTAAAGGACTTTGCATTTATTAAGTGCAAGCGACATATTTTTACCAAGTCACCTTGGCTATACTGTGTAGAATAGTAATTCTCACTGGATGAGGAAAAGTAATTGAAAAACTAAGCACTTATTTCATCATAGTGCTTCAATCTGGTTAGAGTAAAATTATATTTTGAATTTTAACAAACATTTATCAAATGGGTCCATGAATATAAAATACAGATTCAAACACTAAAACACTATATAAGAATAGTGATGAAAATTCCAAGGGAAAGTGTCTCTGATATGTGTGATAGAATAGATAGATAGAATAGATAGATAGAATTTAGCATTTCTTTATCAAAGCTGAAGAAAATGCTTCCATTAGCTGCAAAGAGATAAATAAGTGGATGTATTTTCTTCAACTAAGTGAAAATATTCTTGGAGACATGCAAATATTGTTTCAAGTGGTTCTCAAGGTCATTGGTGTTGGATGCCACCAAATAGTAAGATAAGTATTTAAACCTTTGCCAACCTGTGTGCTTTGCGGTTCATCCATTTGCATACAGAAGAGGTTTGATAAAGCTTTAAATATCTTTTGAGCATCTATGTGTAGCACTGGACTCTTTTCTTTTTGATTGCTGAGATACCAAGTTACCATTAAAACTCTTTCTGGTAGTTAACTGTGTTTAGGAAGTAGTGCACTGTTTTAAGGGACATAACATTGAGAATGTGCTGCAGTAAGCCAGCAGCAATGCCGATAAAAAGGCCACGCCTAGTATCAGGGTGACTCACTCCCTGTGCAGAGCAGAGCTTGCCTTAGCTCCTGTGTGCAGGAGGAAGTGACACAGAAGAGAGTATGACTCTCATAGAAGAAGTAAGCTGGCTTTAAGGCAATTACTCTTGGACTTCTGCTAAAAATCATTTCAAATATATGAAACACATGCAGAAATGCTTCTTCCAGCAGGTGTCTGGCTAACAGATTAGTCAGAACAAAAATAACAGATCATTTCAGCAAATCTGAGTAATTTCATTTTCCTGCAACTTGATTCTTTCATAAATCACAAGAATTGGACTAGATGATTTGGGATGTTTCTGGAAATCATTGATGAATGTGTAAGCACTGGCGGAAGAGGCTGGTATTGGCTGGAGTTCTCTCTGAACTGATAGGAACTTGTTCCATAAATCTTTTAAGAGGACGCTCCCCGCAGGGAGGCAAAACTTGTGCAGCGTCTTTGTCTTTACTAAGTGTAGCCTTCCTTACCATCAGCCCTTCCAGTCCCGAGTTCCCATGGTTGGATCCCAGCCCGATACATTCCCATGCAGGAATTGCCTGCATTTGGCTGAAATGTCTGTTCCAATATTTTGATTACTTAGTGGATCAGGTTTTTTTTTTTTTTAATCTTACTTAGGAGTCTTGAATGTTCTTTATGTGTTTATTCTGCATACAAATTTTTATCAGATAGATGATTTACATTTTATCTCCCAGTTACTTTCATTTGCTTAATTGTATAATTGATACATATTTGATTAGATATATAATATGCTCTCTTTTTTTTAAGCTTGATTCCTGATATGAGCGCTATCAGGGAGTTTTGAATCTTAACTTTGGCATCAAAGGGAAAATTAACTGACATTCCTAAGTCACAGTATCCTCCTCCTTTTAGGAATAAATATTAACATCACTTGAATTACTTGGGCTATATAGGTGGTTCACTTAAAAAAGCAATAAACACGCTTCATAGTGTTTTGTAACATCTAGATAGTTATACTTTAGTCATTTGTCAACCTGTCATCTTTTCTAAATTGCAAGAATACTTTCATATATATTTGTAATAACCTTGAAATCTTAATCTTTTGACTATCATTAATCTAAGGCTGCTTTAGTGAGACTAATTACTCTTGCTATCTTAAATTTAAGGAAATTGTTGGTACTACCACTGTTTAGAAGAGAATAAAGTTTGATCCATTGTAATATACTTGTATAGTCTCTCTGAAGAATAGCAATCGTGACTTTGACCAGGTGGAGTACCCTGAGTGAATGTGCCCTGTCTGATTACTGATATATTTATGGAAAATGGCTCAATGCTAATATTTTTATACATGTCTGTACTATCACCAAATAAAATATCCAATTAAGCACAATAGCAGGATTTCATGTGTGATAACATGTTATAATAATTAGACTTTCAGACTATGGTAATAACACTTAAGATAAAAACACATGAAGAGGGCCAGGGGTATAGCTCAGTGACATGGCACCTGCCTGGCAAGTGTGAGGTCATAAGTTTGATCCTTGGTACAAAAAAAACCAAAATCCAAAAAACAAAAACAAAAAATCCCCCGCAAAACATGAAGGGTTTTTACAAAGCAAATGCACCACTACACCTGTGTCCTTCCTGAAATCTTCATTTTATTCTCATCTCTGTCTGCACTTCCAGCTTTTATTTTTTTCTCAGATCCTTCTCTTCTCTTAGACCAAGGGAAGAGGAGGAAGAACTGACAATTTTTATAGACCTCAGTACTATCATATTGAAGTTTATGAAGAAGGTGTGCGTGCATAGAACATAGAAGTGTTTCTCTGTGTACTCAAGTATTGTTGCCAGCCATTTCTGCTTTATAGATCGTGCTTTGGGGTGATGTCCTTATTCCATTTATGTTGCCGTGAAATGGGAGAGATTTGCATACAGTATTTTCTTGAACCCACAGAGGCCACAGCCTAAGTGTGACTCCATGCGAGATAGCAGGGCTTAATCTCTTTTTTATTTTTATTTCTAGGTCAGGAGCGGTTTGGCAACATGACTCGAGTATACTACAAGGAAGCTGTTGGTGCTTTTGTAGTCTTTGATATATCAAGAGGTTCCACGTTTAAGGCAGTGTTAAAATGGAAAAATGATCTGGATAGTAAAGTTCATCTTCCCAATGGCAGCCCTATTCCTGCTGTCCTGCTAGCTAACAAATGTGACCAGAACAAGGACAGTGGCCATAACCCTTCACAGATGGACCAATTCTGCAAAGACCATGGCTTTTCTGGATGGTTTGAAACTTCTGCCAAGGTGAGATCTGCTTTGCTGATCAATCTGCTCATCTGTTTACTTTGGTAGTGTGAGTTGTCCCTATACTATTTAGATTGATCACTATGAGTGATAAACCAAGAAAAAATATATCAGGGATGTATAGTAGGATATGTAATAACCTCTCTCTTTCTGAGGCAAGAGTGCTTTCCAGTTGTATTAATAGGGAAGGGAAAAGAGGGTAGATTTTTCATTGAAATAAAAAGAATTATTTAGATCAAAAATCACATGACATTTTCTTTGAATTTAAGTTTTTTACTGAGGTACTTATGCTGCTGAAGTAAATAAGAGATAAGCTATATTGTCAAGCACATGTATGTTTTCCTTTTAAAAAAGGCTTAAAAATGTATGGGTAAAAGAGTAAAAGATACATTGCTATTAATTACTGCACAAGATTTTCTTCCTCTCTTCAGATATGTGTATCTCCTTGTTCTGGCCATTTGCTGAAGCAATTCTCCCAAGTCCTCCTTTGTGTCTTTGTTTTGCTGTGAAACCTGCCTCAACGTCCTGCACCGATAGATACAAAGATATTTACTTTCCAAGGTCATTGTGACTTTTGGGAAGAGTCAGATGTCATCTGGTGCCAACTCTGGTGACTAAGGTAGACGAGAACACACAATAATATTTTTATGAACCCGCTTCTCCATTGGATGGCACCTGGCAGTAGCATTCACCGTATATAAAAATATATTTTATTTTATTTTTTAATTTTTTTTGTCTTTTTCCTTTTTATCGGTACGGGGGATCGAACTCATGACTGCCTGCTTGCAAGGCAGGCGCTTATACCGCTGAGCTAAACCTCTAGCCCCATAAAAATATATTTTAGATCACAGCTCCTAAAGACACTCATAACTGTTTCAGAAGGTGGCAAGGAGAATGAAATAATTGGGGTCAAAACAAAAAGGAGCATTTTGAGGGGGATTAATGGCAATGTGTCTTTCACGTTATTTAGACACTCACCATGTAATTTGATCACTTCTACTGTATCACAATGCAGCACAAACAAAGAAGTTGAATGTTCAAGTAGATTCACTAAGATGTTTGAAAAACTATCTGTCAACAATGTATGAAAGATTTGAACAAGTGCACAAGGTCAACATCTATAAAATGCTTCTTCGTAAATATTAAATTCTTTCACTAACGGGGAGCTGGATAAAATGTGTTTTGAAGGACAAAAACACCAAAGATGATTTTGAAAAGCTTAACCATCTGCATATACAAGAAAGCAAAGGTAAATTTCCGAAGTACACAATATTCGGAGAGTTGTGTACACTGGAAGTTTCACATGAAACAAAACCGCACATATATAATGATATGTTTGAGCAGTTCTATGTAGAAAAACACTAAGCCATAAATTTGTGCCTTCATGGCACAGTTGCAGCTTTTACGTGCATTGTGTAGATCTCTTATGTATGTGCATGCATGTCTCTGTTCCTGCAGTAGTTCCCTTCATTCTGGAGACTTACAGTAGCAACAGTTACTCTTGGCTGTGCTGGAAACTAACCCTCAAAGGGAAAGCGTATTAGACACCACTGATGATCAGAATTTTGATAGCAAGTGAAGAGATCGCACCAGAGGGCAGCCTCACAATGCTGGCTGAGGGTAGCCATTGGAGGAAAAGACTGTCTGCTGTGGACAGAAGCAGTTAGTAACCTGCAGGTTGTTTGTTCATAGTAGTTAGTTACTCAGTACTCCGAGGCGCTGCAGGACTGCTTCTCTGGCAGGAGGCTCAAACTTCAGAGAGAAGGGCTACAAGAGAAAGGCCTGGCCAGCCAGGCTTCAGTCCGCTGAGTGATTTGCCTTAATTTTCTAGCTTCATTGAAAAGAAAACCAGTAGTGGATGTGAATGTGTATGTGAGGGTGTACTTTGGGGATTATTCTGTATTCCAAATAAAATACCGCTTTAGGCTTGATTTGAAGAAACCTTAATTATAAAAAACCAGAATATTTGGCCAGAATCTGCATGTAAGATTTATAATTGATGTCATATGGCCCATAACTTGAGAATGTGTTAGTGTTCAGCTTTATTTATAGAGATTATATGTACAGGTTGGAGGAGAAAAATTAGTTTAAAAGTGTGGTTATGTTCTGTGCTTCCATACAAATGCATTAGAAAGAACTTCCTATGGAGTACAGCAGAAATTTTCAGAGTATAACAATAACATATATTTTAAGTTAAAAATCGACAGTCTAGCACTTAAACAACTTCCTAAGTGTGGCTGATGGATGCCGTAGATTCCCCTGAGTGTGCCAGCTACTGACTTTACATCTGATTTGTCTTGAGTTGTGTGTTCAGAATTCTAATAAGAAAGGCACTTTTGAATGTATGTGTTTCATCCTTTCTGCTTACAGCAAGTAATGGACAAGAGACTTTGTGACTATTCAGTTTCTGTTCCTGATCCCTGTGACCAAGGGCAGCAGAGGAATTTGCTGTAATGGGAATAATGTGGACACTTGGACACTCTAAGATCCAGGCTTACATTAAAGTTAACATTTATTTTGAGATCAGAGATTTTATAAAGCTGTTGATCCATTGAAAAACACTTGAATAAATAACATAAGCTCCTCTGAATTTCTCACCGTCTGAGAAAGGTAGCACAAATAAGGTATCCCAGGTATCAGATTTGACTGGAAATGCAAATGTAAACATTTTTGTATGTTTTTATATGTACGCATATAAACACATACATGCACACATAGCTGTGTAAATAGGCAGAGACATAGGTATAAAAGTGTAAGAGTACTTGTACCTAAATTTATTACTCTATCTGTTAAGAGGGCTTGGAAACAGAGATATCAGATAAATGAACAAACTGTCCTAGTCCTTAGAATTTGTTGCTGTTGCCTGTAACTGAACCCAGGACCTCATGCATACTTCCTGGTTCTGAATTTTGGTTTTTAAATATAGTTTTCTGGTAAACAGAAAGAAGATTCTAGGGAAATAACTGATTCCATAGCTGGTTAGACTAGAAAGTTAAAATTGCCAGAGATATTAGAAACAGTAAAGACATGTCACAAAGAGGCAGGGCTTTTCCAGGGCAGCTTTGAAAGTCCCAAGCCAAGCGGAACAACAAAGTATTGTAATGGACTTAGCTCACAGAATTGGGGAATCCATAATGCGCATAAACAAATGTCAGACACCTGGAGAAGGGAATCATTTTCTAAAAGCAGAATCCCAACTAATAAATATAAAGAGAATGATGGAAATAAAAAGTTACCATTAAACACTGTATTAATCATTGTTTTAGGGGAGAATTAAAAGATCCTGGAACTAGCAAGGGAAAGTAAAATGAAAAATAAGGAGCTTGCATATCCATGCTTACTAAGTAGAAAGGAAAACCTCTCTAACTTTTAGGCGAGAAGGCTGGCAGCTACGACGTCAGCAGGTTTCCTGGTGAACTGAGAAGGGCACGAACACCTACCTTACTCCTGCCAAGAGTGTAAAACTTGAATTTATTCATAGTGCAATATTAACAGACCCAAATTGAGGGATATATTCTGGTTTGTGCTCCCCAAGAGCATAAGGTCACAGGCTACAAAGAAACTGAGGTCCTGTTCCAGATTGAAGGAGACCCCAGAGACATCAGAAATACAGCTTCTGATGCCGCATCGGACAAAGAGCCTGAGTTGCCTGGGGAAATTTAAATAATGCTGATGGTGACTGTCACCTAATTTCCCGATCTCTGTACCTGCACAGCGGTTGTCTAAGCTGTTAATGTTTGAGGAATAGGGCTAAAGGTTAAGCCAGGAAATGTACTGTATTTTACATGCTGTTGCAGATGTGAAATTATTTTTAAAAGTAAGCAGCAATATTTTCTGTGTTGTCAATTGTGAATTTTATGAAGATTTATGAAAAGCCACACAAATGCTGTGAGAGCTAATGATTCTTAATGGACATCATATTTACAATATGATTTTAGTCTGCTTCATGCGATAACTTAAGTAGTAATTTGTACTCACAGATGGAAGAGCAACATGATGCATGTAACATATTTTGATGTGATTTAAGCCCTTTTTACCTTTCTTTCGTGGTGCATCCTGATAACTTCAGTTATAAATTCAAGGGCAAAGATTTTTCCAATCCGAATGTTTTCAACTGTGAGTGGCAACCTAGAACAGGGTGGTTCATTTTCAACCATCAGGCTAGCCCCGTGAAGCGAAGTAGCCAACAGACCATCAGAAAATGTTCCTTGTTTAGAAAGATAAAATGAAAAGCATTCTTCCTTCAACCACACAGCTCAGTGACATTGAACCTGGCACGCAGTCCTAGAGAAAATGATGCACTTAGTGTCCCGGCTGGCAAATCTCCCCATTTCCCTTAATGTTCTTAACACTTTGTTCTGAGAACTGAGGCCAAGCCAGCATTGAGCCTGTTCTTCGCTTCTGTGTTACAGGATAATATAAACATAGATGAAGCCGCCCGGTTCCTGGTGGAGCACATTCTTGCAAACTGTAAGCACTTTCCTAGTGAAGACAACGATGTGGACAAAATTAAACTGGATCAGGAGACCTCAGTAGGAGAGCGCAGAGCACAGTGCTGCTGACGTGGCTTTTGCACCTCCCGTGCCTTCCTTGGTCCTGAGACAGGCTGGAGGATGATCAGGTGTTGCTGTGGACTGTGAATCCCCCACCCGTGCCTTTCACAGTCCTGTTCCACAGGGCCCCTCTGATCACTGAAAACCAGGACAGGGGGAGAAATAACCCCACTCGTGTTTCTGTGACTTAAGATGACCCCAGGCTTTGGTTGCTGTCCCCATGCTACGGAGGATAATGTTTACATCCTTTTAAACACCTTTGTGACTTTGCTTGTGTAGTTTTTAGTGTGAGCACTGGGTGGTAATAAACTTCTCTGCAGTGCTCCTATAATGTTGAGTCTGTCTGTCTTCAGTTCATTCTTACTCTTCAAGAGATTTTTAGACTATCTTAGTGACAGACACTCAGAGCTACTGTTTGGAAGGTCTATTTTCTATTTAAAATTTGGCATTCCATGTAAACTTTTTTTCCCTTAAATACTGTGAGTCCACCAGTCATAACTGGTGTGGCATGTGGTCACATCTCTTAAAGCTATTGTTACCCTTCCTAATTTCCCAAAAGATGGACTTTACGCCTCTGTATCGTGGATGTCTCCTTCTGGACCCATTTACCACCACTTAGAAATGATGTCAGTGAATAGTTCTTCTCTCTTCCTAGTCCTGTCTCTTCACTCTCAGTATGTTTATGTTTTCAACCAAGAACTGTATTGATGTTACCATTCCAGTTCTCTCTCCCTAGAGCTAGAGTATGTCTCAACAGTACTTTTCCAATCTGTAATGGTAATAGTCAAAAAGAACTTTTGTAAAGCACTTAGAATTGTATCTGAGCTTCTGAAGTATGAATTGTGAAAGAAATTAGGTCATGTATGATTTTTCTATAAAAACTTTGCACATTTATAGTATAATGACTGAAAAACTTCAGGCAGATTCAACAATGTTTGTGTAGCTATTAAACCCAATGAAGGAAAAAGAATAAATATTTTAAGTGAAATGTGTGGCCTATATTTTGAGTTAATGTAGTTCTAAGAAGCTATTTTTCTGCCTTAGAAAATTTTGTTTACTTCTGCTTTTTATCTTCAAGGGGCTTAATTATCCAGCTTATTTTTTTCAAAGATATGTTAAGGATTTTATGTCATAATCCAGAGATAATACAAAATGACAAAATTGTCTCATATGTTAGGGAACTTTGGTGAGACAGATCTATGCATTTACTGAAAACAGGAGAAAAACCAACGTGAAACTATATTTTCTCTGACAGGTATGATTTGGAAATAAATCGAAGTTTTCACAGGCCAGAAAATATAGCTCTCTCTTCTCATTAAACCTAAGTCCTGCCTCAAAAGCACAAATTTGTTTGCATATTACACATTTAACTAAAAAGAAATCCTTTGACCTCTTCCAATATTATTCTACATAGAATCAGATTTCTTGAGGTGAATAAATAGAAGATTTCGATTAATTAATATTTTGATTAATGCAGTTCATTATCTTTAAATATTGAATAAAATCTTGTTTTCATACTTTAGTTTTTCTCCATGTGTAACATAGCATTTGAATTCAGGGCAACCTATACAAATGGCTAAATGAAAGAAGAGAATACTTCAGTGTCCTTATTGACCTTAAAAAAAATATAGATATATACACAATAGCTCAGACACTGTACACAATATAAATGAAAGGATATGTTTCCTTTTTACATAAATCTTACATATTATAAGAACGCTAATGTTTTAACTTGCTATATGCAAGTCAGTAACTCAATAATGTTTCTTAACGCGATTGCTATCAAAAGTGGTGATTTTCCAGAAGTGTAATTTGAACATGAAGCACTTCAGTTGCTCAGCGAAAATTCCTGAGACTTACTGTAGACTTGCTGAGTTAGTTGTCTAAGGATGGAGCTCAAAAATGCTTTTATAGAAAATCTGGTGTTTATTTTGAAAACAGTGTAAGTATCAAATAGGAAAATGTTATTCAGTTCAAAATCAATGGTATTACTCAAAACATAAACACTTAAAATACATCACTTTCATTTCCACTTACATGTCATTGTTACTAAAAGTCTGAATGCCTTAATGGAAAGGCATTATATATTTGCTTTCAATCACTGAAGACAGTCTAAGCTAACCTTTCAGTATTGTTGCTACCGCTGGTTAGTCATTTGTAAAAAAAAAAGTAAATGATAATTCTATCTCACTTCCCAATATAATACAATATGGAAAGCAGCTTAAATGCAAAAAATAAGAAATAAAATGGGTTCAGCCTGTAAGGGAAAGTTTTGATGCTGATTTTAGAAAATCCTTTTTCATTCTCAATGCAAAGAGGGAAAGACAGGCATGTTTGATTACATCAGAATGTCTTATACAGCAAGCCTCTACAAGTAAAATTATAATATGCAACAAACAAAAGAAAATAGTATGTGTTCAACCTGTCCAATAATAATCAAGGTAGAGGTTAATAAGGAGGATAATAAAAACTCAGACATTAAGATGGGCAAAGAAAGTAAAACCAGCAGTCTTACAGAAGAGATAATTCGTGTGTCAGATTTTTACTAGTAAGCAGTAACCCTTAGAAATATAAAACTTAACAGATTCATAAAAAGTATGTTTGATTATATCCTCCATGTTGGTGAACAAACAGGAAAATAAGTATTTGTAATTTGCTTTTAGATTAAATTTATCTTAATAGATACTACCAAGTTATCTTCCCAAACTGCTATACTGTTTTCACTTTTAGTCCATGATTTGTCAGGAAGTGAAACTGTTATTGTTAGGGAAGTAAAATTAAAAACAAAATCCCTTCTCAACTCATAGAGCCACTCTGTAAAGACAGAAGATAAAGAAAATTTTTATTACTGAATACTGAGTAGGTATTAAAACAAAATGTTACGCACATTATAGGCAATTCAGTGAGATTACAAAAAGACAGGAGGAAATTTCACTGTTACAGATCCAGGGCTACTTAACACATTACATGTGTTTTAAAAAATACACCAGAACTAGTCCCCCAGACAGGATTTGGCACTGTCTGTGACACACAGGTCACCTTATGTCCACTTGGTAATTGGTAGGATCATGATTGTTAGGTAATTGGATTTATCTATGGGAAAGTTCAACTTTTTATATCTTTACGACAAAAGAGAATTTTGTGTTTTGGAGCAGTTTACTACAGTTAGGCTTCCAGAAGTGAAACTGAGATAGAGTGCTATATTTCAGAGACAGTTCTTTGGGCATGAGAAGTTGTTGAGATGCCAGCAGAGCTGATGGAATGATTTGCACACATTTCAAAGATAATGAACTGAAGGTTTCCTAATGTAAATACTCTCAGGAAAGGAAAATTAGCATTTCATTTTAAATTTATATCTTCCCTTACCACCAACCCTGAATAAGCATGCACCAGTGTGTGTAAAGAAGTCTGTTCACTATAGCACTGCTCCTGTATGCTTTGTACTTAGTGAAAAAAGAATCTAAATGATCTTCTATAGGAAAAAAAAAAAGGACAATTCTGTATCCACCCTAGGTGATAGTGTGCAGCACTATGAAAACATTTCTGTTAAAATATGTGTTAAGAATTTAAAGCCTTTGTGAACCATCTGGAAAGATAAAAACCAAATTCCCCATTGCACCTGTCCCAGAGCATCAGGGACCTGGCCTAGATCCCCAGTCTCCCAAATAAGTATACAGTTAAGGCTTAAATAAATGAGACAAGTGGTATGATTTTAGGCTCCAGGAGGATCAAAACCCTCTACAGAGCTTCAGACCCTGAGGGCTAAGACAGGGAATGTCTCTGGGCGGTCCTTATTTATTTAGTATTCAAACAAGGAAGGGATTAGAGTGGAAAATTCAGGAAACCTGAGCAGAACCTTGGGAGAGGTTCAAGGGCCCCTCCAAGCAACAGACAATGCTAATTAAGGAGTTCCAAGCCAGATGAAAATCTCCAGGTGAATCTTGCTACAGGAGTTAAATGCCTGCATCCATAATTTCCATCCTACTAATTGGGCTTGGAGCCAGGTAACCTCAGCTGTGGCCCATCTTGCCCCCTGAAGCATCTGCTTGTTCTCATCTTGGCCATGCCACAGCCCTACACATGTATCCAGTTTGCCCAGCTCCCAACACCAGAGAAGCTTGAAATTGGGATAATTTGGCTTTTTAGACACTGTTTACATTTTCATGGCAGTAGATTATAGATGTTAGTAACAACTCATTTTACTCTGATCACCATGCTTGTTACACTGCCATTAAAATGAAAAGGAGCGTTCCATTTGGAACACGTTGCTTTAAACCAAAGCTGGTTTCAATTATCTTTACTTTTCACTGCATTAAATAATATCACAAATATTTTGTCCTTTTCGGATCTTACATATTTTAGGCTTTTTTAAAGAAAAATCCGATAACATCTTAAAGATTAATACCTCTAATATCCAGTTCAAAGTACATCTACATTTGCATCGAGTCAGTACTTTATTCCTGCTCACTCCAGCCAATGTTCAAGAATAAACAACTGGCAACTATAAATGGGGCTTTATCTGTAATGTCAGGACTCTAGGTGGCTGAGGCAGGAGGATCACAAGTTTGAGCTGAGCCTGGGAAAGTTAGTAAGGCCTTGTCTCATATTTTTTTGAAGTCTGTGGATGTAGCTCAGTGTGAAGCACCAAATAGAATTTTTATTTATTTAGTAGCACCAAATAGAATTTTTAAAGAGTGTCTGCATGTAGAATCATATGACCTACGTATTTATATTCAATTCCATTTTGAAGGATGATCATAGAGTGGCACAATTCAAGAGGCTTTAGATGCAGCTGAGTAGTTGTGTAATTGCCTAGCGGGTGCAAAGCCAAGGATTCACTCTCCATCACTGCAAAAAGAAAATTAGCTCTGATTTTTCAAATTGTGGCTATATGAGAGGCAGAGAAAGAGATATAGAGTTGTGGTTTGTGCAGAGTGGGGTTAGAGGGGAAGAGCTGTGGCAGCTGTTTACACACATGTAGGCTGTAGAAAGTCACTAAAATACCACTGACGTTGTCCAGCGGGCCCAGCAGTGTTTCCCACACCAAATTCATTATTTTCCCATCTTTCTCTTACTGCCAAAGGTGCTCTTAAAGCTTAAGTGTTTATACATTACAACCTAAACACATTATGATTACATTTACTCCTAAGATAAAATGCGATGCTGTCCTTTAGTGAAATGATTATTTGGCTGAGAATGTCAGACTGCAGTAAATTTATAGCTTGCATTTATAAAAATGATGCCTTTGTATCCTTTAGTATAGCATCAGGCATGCTGTTAAATTGCGATTGAGAACAATTCGTTTAAGAGCTTTAAGGGAACACAGCAATTGCTTTAAGTGAGGACAGTCGTGGTGACTGAAACTAGTTTCAATTGCAGTTCAATATACTGTTTTGTCTGTCTGTAAAGATTAATTTCTATGAATTTTTGTATTGATTAAGAACTTTTAAGTACTGTCCTCTCCAAAATCTTTTCTGTTAAAATTGTAGCACTTTGTGCTACTTTGATTCAGAATTATTTTAATAGCTAGCAATAACCTCTAATTTTTTACAGCATAACACATTTCAAGCTGTGTATACTCTTTTGTGATACTATTTGATTATATCCCTATTTAATCCTGTTGACCGGGACGATGATTTAATGCATGTTGGCAACAATAAACAACAAATATAATCGTAGACCTTGTGTGAAAAGTAACTAGAGTTATAATAGGAACTAATTAGCAGCAAAGATTTTTAAGCCCTTGGTTAGGTGTATACAATTCTAAGCAGGTCGTCTTCGAAAATAATGGTAATGGCTAACCAGATGTCAGTTGATATTCAAACATTTAAACATACTTCAGCTCAGTATAAGATAAAGGCTACTAAATTAATGACAGGATTAAAACGTTATGGTTTGATATCACTCAAGTATTTACGTGCTAAAATATCTAACTCAATATTTTCTCAGCACATATTTTTATTTAACTTTAAACATAAACATTTCACT